TAACAACAAAGAATGGTCAATGACATCAAAAGCAGAACTAAAATCGAGTAGTACTGCACCCACTAACTTCCTATTATCTAGTTCGCCCCTTCCAGTCATCTGTCATTTGTGTTAAAGCGGTGCATGTGGAATGGCCAGGTCTGTAAGCATGTTGATACACAGTATTAAGTTTGTTACCTTCAAAGTATTTTTGTATTTGATTGAAAATTATTCTCTCCATTATCTTTGCTAATGCTGGTAATAAACTTATTGGACGGCTATTTGTACCAGAAAATGGTCCAGCTGGATTTTTTGCAAGTGGAATAATTGTTGCTATTTTCCATGCCTGTGGGCAAATACATTTATCAATACTCAAATGTATAATATGACAGATAGGCTCTGCAACAAAATTAGCAACATATCTAAGAAATGTACCAACTAAATGATCCACTCCTGGTGGTTTATCATTACATTTACCTTTATTCAACATCTGTAATTGTCACTTTTTCTATTTTAAATGTACACTTCTTATTTTTCATAATTAAATCCTTTATTAGAAATGTGGAGTTACTATTTATAGTTTGATTCATATTTCTCCTCAAATGTTTTACTTTATCAAGAAAATAATCATTCAGATGATTAGCAATTTGTACTGGTTTGTGGTACCTTGTTGTGAGTAGTTTCAGGGAGGAACTATTTTCTTTGAAAGACAAGCCTTCAGGTCAGCCACAACATCAACACAGACTGTAGTCTCATTGTGTGACCTTATAAACACTATAATGCATATCACAGTGCGTGGTACAGGCAGAGAGAAAACAGCATTTTGAAGCTGCTAATGGAGAATGTAGATAGAATCTTTCCCTTTAGGTGAAACAATCTGCAAAAGGTTATCAAATGTATTCATCATCCAAGCAGATCCAATGTGTGTGGCTCCCTGTTCCAAACATGCAAACACCATTAGTCTCTCTCAGAGTGGTGCACACAGGCAAAGGTTAAGAGGACGGTATGCTAATGAGAGCTCTGCTAACACACTTAACACATCCAGAGAATCAACCAAACATGTTTTTTGTTATGATTCAACTCTTTGGTTGATCTTCATGAACTGTGTGCTGTTTGCACATTTGTACCGCAGAATGTTTACTTTATAATAACTTCACGTCTTTGACATTCTGAAGCAGGTCAAACAGAAGATGTCATATTTGAGCGTTATGTTTTGGGTGAGGGAGTGGGCGGTATGAAGGTCTCTGCTGGCGTCTCTCCCAACTCTGAAATATTTGACAGGGGATTAATCTGTGTTGTCACTGTGTGCTGGGAATTGGAATATATCTGAGTTCCGCTCTCTGAAAAGCTAATGCCCACCTTCAACTTTTAAAATGGTTATCGACAGCAAGGTTACCAGGAGAGGAACTGCCCTAGGGGCCCCAGGGGCCAGACAAGTCCAAGGACCGCTTCATGTCGATTGTTTTTTAGTGACACGATCGATTGTAAATTTGGTATTGGGGATAAAGCACAAAATCTCCCGAGGTGGCTGTTATCTGCGTCAACACACATATCTTTCTGACTATGCCTTCATGATGCACAATGTCTTCGGGCTGTCTTACTGTCCAACACCTTGAGGATATGTCTTTGGACTGTGGAATGAACTGAACTGAGTTTGGTGGACAAAGGATCTCACAAAACAGGTTTTTGATCATAACTCAAGAGTTCATATGGTAATGACAGTTTCACATGAATGGATAATATGAAAAATGTATGACGTTATTTGAAAAACAAGGTTGGAAAATGGAGCTTGACTGTTGGTGAAGGCACACAACTGCGAGTCGGAATTCTAGTTTAAAGGGGCCCCACAACTAAAGTTAACATAAGATCTAAATGTACTACAAATTAACATTAGTACAAATGTGCAGTACTATTATTCAGGCACATGTATGCTTCAAGACCTAATGTCAGAGCAAAATAAAACATCCGAACAAGTATTTATGTTAGAGAGAAGCTGTGCTAAATACATGATTCGCCTGCTTCTCATATCGACAGCGCTGCCGTAGGCCGACTTGGACCGACTTACTTCTCCAAGTAGATGAATCACCCTTGTCTACAAACGGAGCACACAGATCGATTTGTTTCCTTCTTATAATACAAGTGGGATCGTTTTTGAACACTACTCCGCTTGTGTTTAACGTGATCTACTGTACAGATGAAAGGAGTGTGAGCGCAGAAGTGTCCTCACTGAGGGATTCTGTTCCTCTCTGCTGTAGTTCAGGGACTTTATATTGGTACCAAAGATATAGCTGTACAGTAGACGTCGGGACGTCACCTATTGATTTTTGGAGTACCACTTTGAATCCTCAAGTTAAGTTAATACACTTTAACTTCATACAGTCATGAAGGAGCAACATTATAATTTCAATGTACTCTTGTTTCTGGCCACCTCATGAATGCACTTCCAGTATTCAGCTGAATGGATTTTGAAGTAGCATCATTTATAGCTCACTTGTGTGGATGGTATAGAAATGTTTGGCTTATAAAAAACACTAAATTGTCCTCGTAAGGAAATGTGTTTTGGACTCTATCCTCACTTCTGTGGTTAGAAGCCAATGGCAGTATCATAAAACAATGTGTGTTTGTTAGTTTGGCTTATTGAAAAGCTAATATACCTGCAGGATTCTTGTTTTTTTTGAAAGCACTAATTGTGAGTGGCTTTGAACTAAATTGTCACCTAAATACAACCACATAATAATTGTTTCTAATATATACATGTTTTCTTTTATCAGCACTACTGTCCAGTATGGCAACAGTGAGAGCTCGTGTGGGTTATTACACCTTGCAATAACACGCTCATTGATTCACCGCAGCATTCCGATGCAGGTATACATTATTGATCCTTGTCTGGCAGAGACATTAAATATATGAGACTTCATATCATTGTGTGTGAGTGTTTACAGTGCGGCATCATAAAGTTGAGCCTGTGACCGCAGAGAACGCTGCTCTGATGATCCTGCTCTCAGTGCTACAGCTCGGGTTCACAGGTGTCATCCCGCTGCTAAGTGCTCCAAAGGGCCATACAATATCATCTTTGGACGCACGTTTCTAGCAGCCCAGCGAGCTGAGCTGAATCTCTTGTATTGACCGTTTAAGATCCTTGATTAAGGCCGAGTGTGGCCACTCCTGTACAACAGCACAACAGCTCCAGCTAAAGCCAGAGGTGGTGGAAGTATTCAGATCTTGTACTTGAGTAAAAGTAGAAGTACCAGAGTGTAGGAATACTCTGTTACCATGAAAAGTCCTGCATTCAAAATGTTACTCAAGTAAACGAAAGTATTAGCATCTAAATATAGTGAAAGTAGCGACAGTAAAAGTAGAAGTACTCAAATCTTGTACTTGAGTAAAAGTAGAAGTACTCAGATCTTGTACTTGAGTAAAAGTAGAAGTACTCAGATATTGTACTTGAGTAAAAGTAGAAGTCTCAGATCTTGTACTTGAGTAAAAGTAGAAGTACTCAGATATTGTACTTGAGTAAAAGTAGAAGTACTCAGATATTGTACTTGAGTAAAAGTAGAAGTACTCAGATCTGATACTTGAGTAAAAGTAGAAGTACTCAGATATTGTACTTGAGTAAAAGTAGAAGTACTCAGATATTGTACTTTAGTAAAAGTAGAAGTACTCAGATATTGTACTTGAGTAAAAGTAAAAGTACTCAGATCTTGTATTTGAGTAAAAGTAGAAGTACTCAGATCTTGTATTTGAGTAAAAATAGAAGTACTCAGATCTTGTACTTGAGTAAAAGTAGAATATCCCAGAGTGTAGGAATACTCTGTTATAGTAAAAAGTTCCTGCATTCAAAATGTTTCCTCAAGTAAAAGTAGAAAAGTATTCTCATCAAAATATAGTGAAAGTAGCGACAGTAAAAGTATTCATTGTGCAGATTGGTCCATTTCAAATCATATATATGATATGTTTTATAATGATTGATCATGAAAGTGTTCTCAGCTGGTAAAGGTGCAGCTAGTTTGAATGACTTTGTATACTGCAGGTAGCTGGTGGATTTACTCCAGGTGGAACTTATATGATTGATTATATTTAACATCGTTAATTCAAATCTGCAAAGTGACTAAATATTTTAAATAAATGTAGTGGAGTAAAAGTATACTTTATTACCTCTGTATTGTACTGTTGTAGTGTAAACTATACCTCAACATTGTACAGAAGTACAGTACTTGAGTAAATGTACTTAGTTACTTTACAACCACTGTCTGAAACAGGCCGGTGTTAAGGGCTCTGCTGTGTGTGCTGTCAGCACCACGGACAGCTTCCTCGGCTCCACGGACAGCTCCTCCCGCTGCAGCTCCGAGCTGCGCGTGAAGGGGGGATTCAGCATGCATTAACAAAACAGTCACACCCCTTGTGCACACACATGATCCACAGAGGAACTGTCCATACTGCAACTCATCGTGTGTGTATTTATAGACTGATTATTATTATTTTGTAATCCTGAAACTGGATGACTAACGAGAGGGCTATTGTCTTTATAAGCGATGCTTTCTGCCCTCCTAATTTTGGTTTGATTGTCGGTTTCATTAATTGTCAGTATTCATATTGAACTCGGGGATTTAAACAAATAATAATACACGTTACATGGTATTTAGCTGAGGCTTATATCCACTTTCCTACACTTTACCGTAGACATGCAATTGGAGGTTTAGTATCTTGCCCAAGGACACTTCGACACTGCAGGGGCTGGGATCGAACCACCAAGCCTCTGATTGGTTGATCAGCCAATTTATCCATCTTAGCCACAGACAGTCAGTATTGTGAATGTCTTTCCAGTAAATGTAACCCCCACCCTCTCGGGAATCACAAGACCACTTGTACATCCCCCCCCCCCCTCCTCCTCCCCCTCCTCCTCCTCCTCCTCATCTCCTTTCAGGGCTATATCCTCCGTCCTCCCAAACAGCAGCATCACTGAGAGCAGACAGGGGATCGAGAGAGTTATACCGAGCCCACCCCTTCTCACTGGTGTCGGAGGGAAAGATGTGAGAACACTTCGGCTCTCGGTTCGGTAACGAGCGTGTCCGGAACTCTCCTCCCTCCCGGCCGGGCTGATGTGAACACACAGCCTGGGTTGGCTCCTCGTCAGAGAGCTCGCACATCTCCGCGCGTGACGGCTCCGTCCCCCCTCACTCTTCTCTTTAAGATTCCGCAGTTTGACAAGACGCCGCATCCTCCCCTCTCCTGACTTTCACGGGAATCCGGTGTCTCTTCTGTTCGGATTCAACCAAGTTAAATAAACCGGGAGTTTACCATGACAGCCACCAAGGAGCAGCCGAACCAGAGGCAGAACCAGCCGCAGCAGGATGAGGTGGGCACCGGCTTTCTTTGCTCTCCATTTCTCTCCCACTTTACCCGCGCGCATTAAACTCTCTGCAAGGTCAGACCATTAATCAACGTGTGGCTTCATCTGTATGGCTTTAACCGGCAGCATGCAGGCGGCTCTGCCCGCAGACATGAAGTGTCCATCAGCCTCAATGTTAGTGAGAGGTGGATTTAACCTGGGCTTCCTCTGTAGAAACAATCAAGACGCTCTCAGCCGCGCGTGGAGCTCATTCAGCTGTCAGGGGAATGTTGAATGCCGTAGGCACATGCACAGTGTGTCTGTAGGGGCGGGGGGGGGGGGGGGGGGGGCATTGCCATTCAGACCGCTGCCTCCTGTCAGCTGCCCGCGACACCTTGCAAGAGAACAGTGGTGGAGATTGAGTCTGTAAGAGGGGAGAACACACACTGTGTCCCAGATACACACACTCCATATCCGGCCCCAGGCTGCCGTTACACTGCAGGGGTTAAATGTTCCTGAGCACCTTTACACAGGAGGTGTCACGCACTGCATCGTTATGTGATTTTTGAGTTTTCTTTCAAGATGTATTTATTTCATTGATACATTTGCATAAAAAAACTGAGACCTTGACTTTAACTAAATGTTTTATCTCCACAGATATATAAAATGTAATAATACTTAAAACTGTAGTTTTAAATGTGAAATGTGTTGATATAATACATTTAATTAAAGTCAATTTCCCAGTGTTTTCAGTGTGGGCTAGCTTAGCCTTTATTAGAGTGACTGATTTTCAGAGGTTGATAGAGGGGCATAAAGGGACCCAGTCCGGGTCTGAGTCCCAGTGCATGCCTATCAAGTGTTCTTCGCTGCGGCCTCCATGCTTTTTCAAGCCTTTACTGGAAACCAGAGTCTTTGCCATCTGGCGTGTGCAACTTGACAATCACGCGTCTTTGTACCATGGCCAAACAGCCGAGTCTCTATCACCATCAGTTATCGATTTCTCTCTCCAAATGTCCACAGTGCTCCTGCAGGCTCATGTAACCCCCGCTCAGTCAATGCACTTTTCTATTACACCTATAACTAATTATATGTTGCACTGTGGAGCTCCCTCAAGAGATTACTAAATATATTTGCTCTTAATTGAATTTAGCCCTGTAGCCTATTATTCTAAGAAATCAAAACCGCGGCCTCATAATTGGGTTTATGTGCCTGGGATATTAGAAGGCCTCATGGGATGTGGTAGAAATGTGATATCTCACAGCTTCCCATCCACTCTGCTGCTCAGTGGCCTTCAGGCCGTTTACAAGTCATGTTGTGGATTGTTTCGTGTGAGCATTGACTTAATTAGTGAAGCTGCTGTAGCTCACAGCTGAGAGGCGATGCCAATGGAGCCTGCTGTGGCTGCACACATCATAGCTGTTTCATACTTTTACCAATGCTCATTATTGGATTCAATAATCTCATGTGTCTGCAAAACAGCTGCAGGACAATCATTAAGACTTCGATTTGTTAAGAGTTTAGTGCATTCCTGTTAGAGTCGATTAGAAAAATGAAAATCGAAATACTTAAAGCCAGATGATTGAGGTATTGTTGTTTGCTGTAAATGGCTAAAGCCAACTGTTCACGGCTCTAAAAGCTGGCAGTAAATGTTTGATCATCCTATGTCTGGGCAGTCACTCCGAAGTTATTGCATAAGATGTATGCAGCAGGCCGGGCGTTACGTTGCAAGCGCCGGGCGTGAGAGTGCCTTCAGAGCCAGAAGCTATTACTGTCAGCCCACAGCCCTCACACGGCCTCTCAACAGGGTTACTCTTCATTAAAGTTGCATGACGATGCTGAGGGAATGACAAAAGGGGGAAACATAGAGGGATCTTTAAATAATAGGTGGAGCCCTGGCTGTTTAAATATCTGCACGGTGGAGGAACACTAATTGTACCGTGGATGATTAGTAAGGTCCATTGTTTTAGGAAGCCTTATTGTTTGTGGTTTAGTCAGTGAAGCTAGAAGTGACTATCCTGGCATACTAATGTGTTAATGTGAACCAATCCATAACCCCGAGGTTTCAGTTGTTTGTATTGTTGGCTCAATATATAACTATGATGGCAACTTTGTTGGAGAAACCAGCACTTTGAAAATGGTTAACCTTTACATAACTTTCAACATGCATGTAACATGTGGAGTGATCCACCGAGAAAGAATACTCAGCAAACCTGTGCTTGAAATACAAATGTGTTTAACCACATGAGAGCAAGACACAGATTAAAATGTACAACCCTATAACTGGACTCATTGAAACATATTGGATGTTGCATTCAATATTTAAAATAATAATCCTAGATACATACATTTTTGGTAAACCTATACATTATCTGGGATAATTATCTAGGTGCTACATACTTTCTGAGGAAGACAGGTTTTGGTTGTTGAGGTGTAAGATATCGAGAAGGATGAGGTAGGCTCGGAATAAAATATCTCTGGGTCTGCTGCATTGAATTTGAATTGTTATCTTAAACTCTTGGTCGTGACTGTTGATGTAACAGGAAGGTGAATCAGAGAGGTACTCGTTCATATGCTGTCGAGAATCAACGGCTAGACTGGTTCCTCTTCAGTGAGCTCCTCTCAGCCTCCAGAGGATACATGAGTCTGATCAGCACATGTTGATTTGATTGTCCTAACAACATGTAGCAATGGATCGCAACACAGAGTCAGAATGAAGATCCAGTTTATCACCAAGCTTAACAAATGGCATTTGCTTTGTATTTAAGTTGCACAAAAACGGAATAAACATAGAAACATTCAAAAAGTTCAGTCAGACAACTCACGTGTTTCTTCATATGTCTATTAGAAGCACATATAGTTTGAGTTTGGCGTCTAGGTTCCGGCCTACAGGTGGATGCTGGGATGGAGCGTGGGTGGTGGGGGGGCAGGCAAGCAGCAGCAACATGAAACACAGCAGCAGCGTGAACACAGCAGAAGGGCACGGACACAGCAGCAGCATTAGCGAGGCAGAGGCAGCAGATATGGTATCTTAACCCTCCTGTTGTCTTCGGGTCAAATCTGACCGATTTACTTCTTTCATCAATCATAACTTTTTAGTTTTACATTCGATTGCTTTAAGGCTTCATGATATCCTTCACAGGAGACATTTGAACACAAGTGCTGATCAACACATTGCATTTTGGAGGATTAGTCAACTTTGAAAACACATGGGTGTTCTCGGTCTCACAACACACACACACAACACAGCACACAAGCACACACACACACACACACCCACACACACACACACACACACACCACACACACACACGACCACACACACACACACACACACACACACACACACACACACACCACACACACACACACACGATGTGTTCCCCCGCTCTTATGTGCCCATCCCCCCACATGGATCACACCAATACATGTTCAGTGTCTGTTCTTTGTATATGTACTGCAGTTGTTCATGTGTACCAGTAGTCTGATAACATACTTACAGTTTGAAAGGGTGTTAAATGAAATGTGGTGATGATTAATGGTTTTTGTGTGAATGTAATAGCAGTTAAAACAGGACCCGTCACATTTGACCGTGAACACCAAAGTAAGGGGGGGGGGACGGAGACAATAGGAGGGTTAAACAGAGCGGTAGGTTTAGGAGATTGTGTTTGGTTGGTTGTAAGAGGGACGAGGTGCGTCACGTGTAAATGTATCATTGGTGCTCCAGTTGACTGCCTGAACCAGCTCGCAGGATCGCCCCATTTATGTTAAAAACTATAATACAGAAAAAAGCAAGTGCAACAAACAAGAGCTGTGCCGTTATTAAAGAAGTAGCATTGAACAGACATTTGCTAAATGTACAGAGGAATGGTGTGATGAGGAAGGCTCACATTATTTTCATTGGAGGGACGAACAGTCCGGGGGGTCCCACGCTTAGTCGATGAGGCCATGAGCTATTGACATGTTTAACATATATATGAAGAACACACACACCAATAGGTAAATGAAGGAATCTAATGTATGCCAGTGATTTGGATGAATGGCTTCCCGCTGGTAAACCTGTCTGCTCACAGCTCCCAGGTTCTTGGTGCTGCGTCTTCTTTCACAGCTCACACTGGTTTGTAGAGAACAGCTGTCAGTTCTTCATGTGTGTCCAGTTGCAGGAGTACTTGTTATATTTATATTGTGACGCTATTACTTACTGTTGGCCATTTATACAGTAATGTCTAATTTAGTGGGAATGCTAATATCTGTTATGCTACGCACACAATTCTTTATTATTCCGCTGGGTTATTTTGCGCCTCTACTCTTCCCACATTCCACATCGCAGAAACTCCGTTCAAACATCAAACGTCAGCTCGGTCGGGGAATCGATGGCTATTACTTTCTCATTCATAACTTTCATAATTCCAGAGATACATCCCATAATAAGATAAGATAGAGCTTTATTGTCTCCCTTAGGAGAAATGTGTCTTGGGCATCGAGATAATACACATAAAACATTCAGATCAGTCATAGATACAGAACAGAGATCACATGGCAAAGAAACAAGAAACACACAGGTACAGAACTTTCCCTATTGCACATACATAATCAATATTGCACTTTTCCCTATTGCACCTATGCATAGTGTCCGTCAGATTGCACATATCCCTATTGTGTCCATACCTATTTACACATATTGCACTTCCCCTATTTAACCTTCTCAATTGCACAAACTACACTGTAAACATTGCACCTCCCAGCAACTCCTAACAGCATAATCACAATTGTTCCTGACTGTTCAGCAGCTTGAGTGACAGCGGAACAAAGGAAGACTTATACCTGTTCTACAGTTTGGTAATCTATACCTTCTGCAGCTCAAACTCTCTATACAGGATGTGTTTGGGGTCGCATGGGATTTTACGGCCTTGCTTTCTCACCATATCCTCAAATATCTCCTAAAGAGAGGATGGTGGAAGCACGCCAATTATTTGTCCAGCCCTTTTATCAAGCTCTGGAGTTGTGATTTAGATTGAACTGACAAGTTA